GTGCTCATTCCACCGCCGTGTGGATTGAGGTCTGCTGTTCTGCTGAAGAGTGAAAACAATCGCCGCATTGTTTCTCACTACCTGTAAAGCTGTTTAATTATGTTGTTATTTTCATATTTTGCCAAATTAATGTAAATGTTTGATGTTAAACTTTGATTCTTAGGCTTAGTTTTGACATCAGGTCAAGTTCACTACACATCCATCAGTCCACCCATCTGTCTGTCCATCTGTCCATCCTTCCATCATCCATCCATCCACCCATCCATTCATCTATCATCCAGCCAGCCAGCCATCCATCCATCATCCATCCATCATCCATCCATCCATCCATCTTCCCACTGATCCATCCATCCATCCACTCATCCATCATTCAGTCCATCTATCAACTTGTTCATGAGTCAGGTATTGGAACAGCAGCTTGAGCAAGGAGGTCCAGACATCTCTTTCCACAGCCACTTCTTCCAGCTCTTCTGGGAGGACTCCAAGGTGTTCCCGGGTCAGCCGAGAGACATAGTCTGTCCAACTTGTCCTGTGTCCTGGCATCTCCTCCCAATTGAACACGCCCGGAGGTGTCCAGGGTGCATTTTACGAGATATCTGAACCATCTCAACCATTTCCTCGGGTTGTGGAGGAGCAACAGCTCTTCTTCGGGTCTTTCCTGGATAACTGAACGTCTCACCCTATATTTAAGGGAGAGCCCAGCTACCCTGCAGAGAAAACTCTTTTAGACCACATGGATCCTCAATCTCATTCTTTTGGTCACTACCTCAGAGTTCAGGACCATAGGTGAAAGTATAAATGTAGACTGACTGGTAAACAGAGAGCTTCTCCTTCTAGTTCAGCTCTCTCTTCACCACAATGGACTGGCACAGAGTCTGCAATACTGCTGAAGCTGCACAATCTGTCTATCGATCTCATGCTCCATTCTTCCCTCACTCTGAAGAAAACCCTGAGAAACTTGAACTCCTCCACTTGAGGCAAGACCTCACTCCCAACCCTGAGTGGACAATCCACCCTTTTCCACCTGAGGACAATGGCCTCAGATTTAGAAGTGCTGATCCTCAACCCAGCCGTTTCACACTCAGCTGTGAACAGCTTCAAGGAAAGCTGAAGCTCACAGCATAATGATCCCAACAGGATTATGTCATCTGCAAATAGCAGACAGAATCCTGAGCCCACCAAACTGGACTCTCTCATCCCCCTGGCTTCACCAAGAAGCCCTGTCCATAAAAGTTATGAACAGAATCTGGGACAACAGGCAGCCCTGGTGGAGTCCAACTCCCACCCTGAAGGGGTCTGACTTATGAGTGAACCAAACCCTCTTATTGTTTGTATTGGGACTGAATGGTCCGTAGTAATGGACTCTACCCTCAGTGTACCCTGAGGAACATGGTTAAATGCTTTCTTCAAGTCCACAAAACACATGTAAACTGGTAGGGAAAACTCTCATGACCCCTTGTTGATCCATATGTGGGTAAAGAGCTGGTCAATGGACAGACCCTGTATTGTTCCTCCTGAAGCTGAGGTTCGACCTTCAATCAAACTCTTCTCTAGTATCCCTGAACAGACCAATGTAGGCTAAGGAGAGTGAGGCCCCTATAATGGGAGCACACACTCCAGTCCCCCTTTTTGAAGAGGGGAACCACCACCACAGTTTGCCAGTCCAGTAGTACTACCTCTGAAAGCCACTTGATGTTGCAAAGGTGAGTCAACCAAAACAGCCCAGAAACATCCAGAGCTCCAAGGAACTCAGGGACAACCCATTCCACACCTGGAGCCCCGCATCCATGGAGCCTTCCAACCACCTCTGTGATTTTAGCTCAGACTATAGTGTAGACTAATCAACCACCAGATCCCCTGACTCATCCTCCACCATGAAGACATGCTGGTGGGATTGAGAAGGCCTGAGAAGCACTCTCTCCATCACCTGATGACTTCATTGGTTGAGGTCAACAGCACCCAACGTACACTACAAACAATGTTGGTAAAGTGTTGCTTTGCCCACATCAGTCACCTTATGGTTTGCCAGAATATCCTCTGAGCCAATTAAGAATCCCTAAGGCATCACCAAATTCCTACATCTCCTACATTAAACAACTTTGGGTCTGATCTCACTTGTCTCTGTTTCTAGTTTTAAAAAACACTTAAAAGCCATTTTTAAAGATACAAGCACATGTTTTCATGCTTAGTGATGTTACTGTTTAACTTTGACAATGAACAGTTGTTAATGTAATTTGAGATTTCCTTGTTTGTTATTGACTACTGTATTTTATTGTTTTGCCAAACTATATTGTTTCCCTTCCCATGACCATAAAAGTGTCTGCTGGTTCTACCAGGCCAGCTCTGTAAATAAGAATTTGTTTTTAGTGTTTAGGCCTGATTTAATAAAGGTGAAATGAAAATTAAAATCTGAACTTTTGTCTTAGCAGTAGTCAGCTCTATGGTCTGCCTGTCTCATAATACTCCTCAGCTGCCTCTGGAGTCCAACCAGCAAAAAAGGACCAATAGGACTCCTTCAGCTTGACGACCACCCTAACCTGGGTTATCCACCACTGAGTTTGAGGGTGGCCGTCACAAGAAGCACAGAAATGTGGAACATGGCCCACTTGGACTCAGTGTCCCCTGCCCTAGCTGGAATGCAGTTGAAATTATTCCTGAGGCGTGAATTGAAATGACTTCTCCTGGGTTCTTCTGTCAGGAGTTTCCAACAAATCCACACGTTTGAGTCAACCTGGTCTGTCCAGCATCTTCCCCCATCATCTGATCCAACTCACTACCTGGGGTTTATCAGTTGACAGCTCAGCTCCTTTCTTCACCCTAGTGTCCAAAACATACAGCCACATATCAGATCACATGATTGCAAAGTCTGCGGCCTAGAGTGTCCTGGTGCCATGTGCACCTTATGTTCAAACATAATGTTTGTGATGAACAAATTTTGACAAGCACAGAAGTCCAACAACAGAACACTGCTCAGGTTCAGACCAGAGATGGTGTTCCTCTCAGTCAAGCCCCTCTAGGTCACACTGTTGCTACCCACATGGGCAATGAAGTCCCTCAGTAGAAGAAAGGTGTCCCCAGCTGGATCACCTTCCAGCACCCCGGCTAAAGACTCCAAGAAGGCTGGGTACTTCGAACTGCTGTTCAGCTCATTGACACAACCAACATTCAGAGCCTGTACCCTCACACAAAGGCATAGCAAATATACCCTGTCTTCTACCGGGGGAAACCAATGCACAGGCACCAAGCCAGGGGGGCTATGAGTAGACCCACACCAGTCTGGCACCTCTCATCATGGGCAACTCCAGAGTGGAATAAGGTCCAGCCCCTCTCAAGGAGATCAGTTCCAGAGCCCATGCTGTGCGTTGAGGTGAACCCAACTACTGTATATCTAGTCGATACCTCTCAACCTCACGTACAAGCTCAGGCTCCTTTCCCACCAGAGAGGTGACGTTCCATGTCCCAAGTGTCAGTTGTGGTAAGCCAGGGTCAGAGTGCCAAGGCCCCCATCTTCAGCTTCCACCCATGGCTTCCTGCATCCAACCCATATGGCCTCTATGGTGGGCCCACAGGAAGGCAAACCCATGCAACTTCTTCAGACTGAGCCTAACCAGGCCCATGAGTAGAGGCCACCAGGTGCTTGCCAATGAGCTCCTTCCCCAGTCCTGGATCCAGGGTGGAGCCATGGTAACCCACATCTGGTCAAGGGACACTAAGCTCCTTGCTTTTAGCCTGATATTGTTTGAAAATATAATTCTACATTTACAGTATATACAAGTGAAAACAGCAAAAGCAAGCTGTGACCATTCTGCTGCAGCCTGCACCACTTCATGTTATTATCCATATTATTTATTAGAATAAATGTGCTGCAGAATTGTCATCAGTGTAAAGGGTTATGAAAGAGCATTCACCTGAACCACTAGACTATTTGGATATATGTGTTGCAGCAATCCAAATCTTGTGGTTACCCATTAGCTCATCAGTTGTTATCTCAATCAGGTCAAAATCAAACATTTTCTCTAAAGTGGATCCATTTTATTAGGATTTATTGGCTCCCATCTGAACTTGAGATTTTATAGTGGAGTGGATGTAATATTTTCCAATATGATTTTTGACACTAATACAGTAATAATTTCACATCTCTACACTGTCATGAATTTTAAATTACACAATTATTTGGCCAAATGGTGTATTTGATGCTGCCAATGGCCACAGGAAAAATTTAACTGAAACACAAGAGTGATGCTCGTGAGTTTTAGCTGTCATCAGATTTTTATTTGAACAGTTTCGTAGTTTAGAAAGTATTTTTAAAATTTGGTTGAATGTTTATTTATTATTTTTATTCCTTAATATAGTTAAAAACTAAATTAAAGCCATGAGGCTATCATATCTACATGAGCGTTTCAAAGCTACTTTGACTAGAGATCAGAGTTATATCAGATGTTTTTTTTGTTTCTCATACTTCAGTGCTGAATCTGACTCTCATCGACCTGCCTGGGATCACCAAGGTGCCGGTTGGAGACCAGCCTGCAGACATTGAGCAACAGATCAGAGAGATGATCATGCAGTTCATCAGCAGGGAAAGCTGCTTGATCCTGGCTGTCACCCCAGCCAACACTGACCTGGCCAACTCTGATGCCCTGAAGCTGTCCAAGGAGGTTGACTCCCAGGGTAAGGCGGGAGCAGAGGGGTAAACAGGGAATGATGGGAGTAGAAATATAAGAGCATGGAAATTAAATCTGAGAGAGTGGCACTGAGTTTTTGTTTGAACAAAATCACAATAAAACAAAGTATTTCCTGACGAGGGTGTTGTTTGGAGTTCAGATGTGTGTTTTGACATCTCTGAATAAGAAGTGAAGTGCACGGTGAAGAGGCTTGTTACTACTGAAGTGGTAGTTTAGCGTCACCAACAGTCAGTGGTAACTTTGATAGAAACAAAGTTTGAAGGAAAGGTGGAGGAACACAGATAAGGAAGAGGTCATATTCATTTACAAGTTCAAGGAAAATCATCAATTTTTACACACAAAGTGTTCTGTGAACATCTGGAGAGCTCTGAAGGAGGCATGAAGACCTTCAGAGTCTCTGGGCACCACAGAGGGATGAAGCAGCATGGAGCCACTAATGTCACACAGACTCAGGAGAACATCCTGGCCCTTCACAGACCCAGTCCAACACCACAACCAGGACTCCTCCAGACCCACACATATCTGCACTCAGAACCACATACACACACATACAACAACACAAGATTCACACATAGAACAACCGACAGAACCACATACAAAAAAAAAAAACTATACACACAGAACCACAAAGAGAACCGCACACACTCAGTGACAATCTTGTTCCCAGGCATGTAAAGACATTCTTAGTTTTTTTGCGGTTTGTCCTGAGATTTCTTTGGACTTTTCTTTGTGAACTGTGGGGCTGTTTTCCCTCCTAAGGTCTGAGGACTATTGGAGTGATCACCAAACTGGATCTGATGGATGAGGGGACAGATGCCCGAGATATTTTGGAGAACAAGCTGCTGCCTCTTCGAAGAGGTGCGTCATTTTTGTTATTAATAAATAATAATAAAACACATGTGAGCCTGTAGATCCATGTTTTGTTGTCCTACCTAAACACCCGGCGTGTTCCTGGGCTTCATATTTCTGGTGAAATGATTTGACTTCTCGGCTGCTTTGTTCCCAGGGTACATCGGCGTGGTGAATCGCAGTCAGAAGGACATTGATGGAAAGAAAGACATCAAGGCGGCTTTAGAAGCTGAGAGGAAGTTCTTCCTGACCCATCCTGCGTACAGACACATGGCTGAGAAAATGGGCACCCCTCGTCTGCAGCAGGTGCTCAACCAGGTGAGGACGGACTTCCTGTCCCACGGTTGGACCTGGTTCAGAACCCCATGCTTCCATCCATATGACTGTTAGAAGGCTGTCATCGGGAAAATCACATGCTCACACTTAATTTCTCACAGAATGACATATTTTTGTACAATTTTAGTAAAAAACAGGACATTTTTCTTTGATTGCTACTTATTAATATTTCACCTAGAATGAAAAAGATGGCGTGTTGGTCCATGTGATATTCATTTGTTTCATTTTGCTGGTTTTTGTCTCCTTAGCAACTCACCAACCACATCCGGGACACCCTGCCAGCGTTCCGCAGCAAGCTGCAGGCCCAGCTGCTGGCTCTGGACAAGGAGGCCGAAGAGTACCGGGGATACCGGCCCGATGACCCGTCTCGCAAAACCAAGCAGCTGTTGCAGTCAGTACACGGTGTCAGTCACAGCAGAAGCATCTTTCAATGACAGCTATAGAAGCCTTTCCTGTTCTGTTGGATTTGGTGTGTTTCAGAATGGTGCAGCAGTTCTCTGTGGACTTTGAGAAAAGGATCGAGGGCTCCGGGGACCAGGTGGACACAGTGGAGCTGTCAGGTGGAGCTAAAATAAATCGCATCTTTCACGAGCGCTTCCCCTTTGAGCTGGTCAAGGTGAATCAATCATCAGGGACAAAACAACAGGAGTCAAAGAAGTACAAAAATAATAACCTGAAATAACATTTTGTCTCACTTTAAACACAAATGGATCTTTTACTTTTTGACAGGTTTTTTATATAGGGTATTTACCCCAGATCCCCATCCACACACAAATAAATAAATAAATAGTTCTGCAATTTTCTCCAATAATGTCTTTGATTAAAACTTCATTGCAAAATGCAATTTTTTTATATCCATTAGTTCTACAACAGATATTGTTAATAATCTTCACACAGCCCCCACTTTGTGTTGTTTTGACTCACTGACTCTTCACATACTGATGAAAGAACTGCAAACCAGAATTTAGAACCGAGGTTTTTGGCCCCCTTTGCAAAGCGAGGAAGGGAGATTGGAAATACCCTCCATCCATTCCTCTGTCATCTGTGCATGTTATGAGCATCATAACTTGAAAAACAAGTGAGATACTGACTTTCATTTTGGTGTAAGGCTGGCTGCATGTAGGTGTAAGAAAGGTTCCTATCAAACATTGGGTTGCCACAACAAACTCCAAGATGGCCATCATTATCTTTAACAACTTCTTCCTTTCTGGGTTGTATGGATAACTGGTGTCCATATCCAACAGTTTCTGTTGCAAGATGTGTGGGACACCTGGACATGTCTCAGTCCATCACAGGAAAACAAAGGGACAAAACTTCCATTCACTCTGTCCTAGGGACAAATTAGAGTTACCAATCAGTCTAACATGCATGTTTTTGGTCTGTGGGAGATAAACCAGAGACCTGGAGAAAACCCACGCACGGAGAGAACATGCAAACTCCACCCAGAAAGGTTCCGCACTGGGATTTGATCTGGCAACCTTCTTGCTGAGAGAAAGCAGCTCTTCCAACTGAGCCACCGGGCCACCAAATAATTCTATAAAGTTTTAATTTCTTTTCATCTTTTCATCATATTTGGACCTTGTTTTATTTCTACTGGAGTTCACATCAGTTCTGTAAGATCTGACTTTGTTGTGATGTTTGAAATTAAATCCATAAAAATAATAATTACTGTTCTGATCGTCTAAACATTATTTTTTACTTTTGTCTTATGTGTTAATTATGTTTTCTGCATCTGCTGTTTCAGATGGAGTGTGATGAGAAGGAGATGCGACGTGAGATCAGTTACGCCATTAAGAACATCCATGGTATCAGGTAGACATTTTTCAGAACATCCATGGTATGAGCAAGGTGTTTGCTCTTTAGGAATATTCAAGGTATCAGGTAGACATTCTTTAAGAAAATCCATGGTATCGGGTAAACATTCTTTAAGAACATCCATAGTATCAGATAGATGTTTTTTAAGAACATTCATGGTATGAGCAAAGTTTTTGCTCTTTAAGAACATTCACAGTATCAGGAAGACATTCTTTAAGATCATCCTAGGTATGATGTACCGTAGATGTTCTTTAGGATTATCTATGGTATTCAGTTGACATTCATTAAGAATATCCATAGTGTCTGGAAGACATTTTTTAAAGAACATCCTTGGTAACAGGTAGATGTTCTTTTAGAAAATTCATAGTATCCAGTAGACGTTCTTTAATAACATCAATGGTGTGAGGTAGATGTCCTTTAAGAACATCCATAGTGTCAAATAGATGTTCTTTAAGAGCAGCCATGGTATCAGCAACATTTTTTTTTCCAAAACATCCATGGTAACAGGTAGACATTCTTTAAGAACATCCATGGTAACAGGTAGACATTCTTTAAGAACATCCATGGTAACAGGTAGACATTCTTTAAGAACATCCATGGTAACAGGTAGATGTTCTTTAAGAACATCCATGGTAACAGGTAGATGTTCTTTAAGAACATCCATGGTAACAGGTAGACATTCTTTAAGAACATCCATGGTAAGAGGTAGATGTTCTTTAAGGACATTTATGGTAACAGGTGGTAAACATTCTTTGAGAGCATCCATAGTATCAGGTAGGGAAAGATTATCAGTAGCTTCAGAAATGTGTCTTACCATCTCTATGCTGATGATATTCAACTGTACTGTTCCTTCTATGACTCAGAATTACATAAGTTAGCTGAATTAGTAAACTGTGTTTCCCATATTAAGGCGTGGTTAGTTAACAACTGCCTTCAGTTAAATTCTAACAAGACGGAAACCCTGATCATTGCTCCTGAACAGAAAGTTCCTTGGATCAAACAACACCTCGGTTCTCTGGGCTCCTCTTCTCAGCCGAGCCTCAGAAACCTCGATGTTCTGTTCGACCAGTCCATGTCTTTGGACAAACATTCAAAGCTTCTGGTAAAAAACTGCTTTTATCATCTGAGAAACATTTCTAAACTGAGAGCAATGTTATCCAGATCTGACTTGGAGATGATTATTCATGCTTTTATTTCTTCTCGTTTAGATTATTGTAATTCCCTTTTTACTTGTTTTAACAAAACTGCCGTCACTCGTCTCCAGTTGGTCCAGAAAGCTGCTGCAAGGCTTTTAACAGGAAGTAATAGAAGGTCTCACATTACACCAGTTTTATCTTCTCTTCATTGGCTGCCTGTTAAATTTAGAATTAATTTTAAAATCTTAGTTTTGACTTTTAGAGCTTTAAATGGACATCCATGACCATCCATGGTAACAGGTAGACATTCTTTAAGAACATCCATGGAAACAGGTAGACATTCTTTAAACCATCCATGGAAACAGGTAGACATTCTTTAAGAATGTCCATGGTAACAAACGTTCATTAAGACCATCCATAGGGTCCAGTAGATGTTCTTTAAGACCATCCATAGTATTTATGAGACATTCTTTAAGAACATTTACAGTATCGGTAGATGTTCTTTAAGAACACCCATAGTAACAGGTAGGTGCTTAATGTTTTTTTTTTTAAGTTTTTATACAACCAGTGTAAGGAATGATTTTAATGCTTGGTCAAAAGAATAAAATCACACTGTAAATAAAAAAGTCGTTCTTTTTTTTCTGTCATTGTTTTATTTTGTTTACAATTTGTTCTTTTTAAATGTGCTTTATAAATAAATTGACAACTTCAGTTCTTTTTTAAATTACTGGCAGTCCAGTTGTGCTTTTATACAGACTTACCATCAGTTACCTGACATGATCAGAAGAGCTACAATCAGGCTTTTAGAGAAACATCACATTTTGTGTTTCACTTGATTTTGTGCTGATATCAGAAAAATCTGTTTTCATCACATCTTTTCTTATTTTGTTGTCCAGAACTGGACTTTTTACCCCAGATATGGCGTTTGAGGCCATTGTGAAGAAGCAGGTTGTGAAGCTGAAGGAGCCTTGCGTTAAATGTGTGGACATGGTCATCCAGGAGCTGATCAACACTGTCCGCCAGTGCTCCAACAAGGTAACCCTGTCGCTCTCTGGCTCTACAGGGATTTAATAGAAATGAGGATGAGGTTACACATGGAAAACATGCAGGAGAGGAAGGAAAGTTATCAGGATGACCACAAATATGTTGCACATCCAAGTGCTGGAAGTGCTGATGAATAGTGGGATGTGTTTTCAGTTGGAGTGCTTCCCGAGGCTGCGCGAAGAAACAGAGCGAATTGTGACGTCTCACATCCGAGACAGAGAGAGTCGGGCCAAAGACCAGGTAAAGAACCAGGAAGTTAGAACCAGTCCTCAGGAAAATGATTCTGGGTTAATTACAGAGGCGTTTCCTAAAACAGTCCATCGAAGTCAACTACACAAATAGTTTGTATTTTTGAAGTTGGGTTCTGTAGAATGGATATGAACAATCAATAAATTACTGTCGTGGTCGGCGGCCCCCGCACTTCGGATCAGCTCGTGGTACTTCTCTGTCCTAACCCTCAGTTGGTTCGCCGCGGTCGGCCTTCGTGCCTCTCGCCTGTTCGTGTCTCTGTTTGAGCTCTGTGCTCACTCTCCACCGGTGCGAGATTATTACACCTTCCATGGTCCCTGATTTTCAAGCCTTCACAGTTTCATGCCTAGACCTCAAGCCTTGCTCTCTGAATTATTGACCTCACACCTGTTTCCTGGATTCTTCACTTTGCCCGTCTTTGGATTTTTGACTTCACATCAGACCACAGTGTAGGATTAACAGTCCTCAGATCATTTAATTTTTATGAGTAATTTTATTTTGAAGGGGCACCACTGGCTTCCGGTTCTAAAGTCAGAAAATTAATATTATTCAATCAGACTCAAGTTTAATGCTCTAGTGAATCCTTTTCGTATTAAATTCAAAAATTTCATATATATCAAAAACACTTTGAGTCAAAGTACAATTTTGTGAGATATATTATCAATTTTGGTGAATATAAGTGATCAAACGTTGAATACAGCTGCAGCATGAATGATGGCTTACTTTGACAACACAAGGTTATGGAGTTATCTTTTAAACTTTAATAGGGTGAATTATGAGGTTCAAAACAGAGTAAATTATCATCTATAAAGTTAGCTAAATGAAGTGTTTTGGCTAGATGTGATTTGTCAATCTAGGAGAACTTAATTCTAATTAATAATGATGAAATTTATATACTGGACAACTTCTTATCTGGGACATCAGACACCAGCAGAGAAAATCTGAGCAGCTTTTTCTTACCGATTGGAAGGTGGTCTGCAATTCAACCGCCCGGAGGGTTACCAGGACTCTTTAGATGACTTATGAGCCGAAGGTGGGATTTCCCTCGACACTGGAAATCAGCTGAAATCTAGAGTCGAAAGTTGGCTCCCGAGGGGGATCAGTTGATGAGTTCCCTCTGCACAGGACCAGTGACATCATTGCTGCAGTCTTGACAGGTGAATGTCACTCTCCATCTGCCTGTGAAGACTGTCAACTCAGCTGATCCTGACTTTGCACCCACAGCCTATAATAAATAAAAACTGTAATTGTTTTTGCACTCCTGTGTCTGGCTATTTTGAATCCAAAACCCTGCTTCATGACAATTACCTGTTGTGAATGGCTGAACGAATTACATCCATCCATCCATCATCTTTACCTGCTTCTTCCTATTCGGGTCGTAAGTGTCACTGATGCCCATATCCAGCAGTCATTGTGCGAAAGGCGGGGGGCACCCTGGACAGGTCTCCAGTCCATCAGAGGGACAACTGAACAGGTCTCCAGTCCATCACAGGGACACCCTGGACAGGTTTCCAGTCCATCACAGAGCCACCCTGGACAGTTCTCCAGTCCATCACAGGGACACCCTCTGTTCAAATTCAACTTTTTCTTTAAACTGGGGTTCTTCAAAGAGTTTATCTACAACAGGCAAGCTATTATTTGTTCATGATCTATCCACAGAACCCCACTAAAACAAATACCACCTCCAGAGTAAAACTTTAGAAGCATTTTACTGAAAGCTACATAATTGCTGCTGAGCAAAATGCTAACAGTAGCAGTGAGCTAGCCTAGCTCTGCAAGAAATCTGGACTGTAACTGAAACAGGAAGTCCAGAAGTGTATCTGACATGTTGATGGAGTAATGGAAAAGTGCACTGGATGTTTCTGTCTGCTTTCAGGTTCTGCTGCTGATCGATCTGCAGCTCTCTTACATAAACACCAACCACGAGGACTTCATTGGCTTTGCTAAGTAAAGATGGGAGCTTTCTGTTGTTTACCGCAGCAGGTGCCCAAAAGGCAGATGCTTCACAGATCTTTTCTGTCTCCTTCTTGTTTCTGTCCTGCGTGTGTTGCAGCGCACAGCAGAGGAGCAGTCAGACCAACAAGAGCCAGAGTTCAGCAGGAAACCAGGTGAGGGTTGGACTTATTCAAACAGATTCTCTTCATCCATTCAGCACTGACACGAAAACGACTTGCAGTTCACTGCAACTTTTCAATTGCACCGGTTATTGATCGATTGATTTACTGAACTGCTGATTGGCTGATTTATTTATTGATTGATTTATGTGATTTATTGATTTGTGTGTTTTTTTATATATTTACTTACTGCTTCATTGATTTATATATGTGATTTCTTGATTGATTTGATGAGTCATGCTCAGGTTGTGATTTGTTCTCTCCTGTAAACCTCACCCCAGGTGTTTTATTTTTTGCCACCATCTTTGCTGGTCTTGTCGTTGAGACGTTTGTCTTGTGTTTGAACCCCTCCTGTGTCATCAAGGTGCCACCTTGCATTTCATGCCCACCCCTTAGTGAGACTCTCAGCTACCTCCTTTAAGGGTGTGTGTGGGTGAGTATTGTCATGGCGGGTTATGGTTTGATGTGTGTGTGTGTGTGTGTGCGTGTGTGTGCACTCACACAGGCCCATTGTGTGAGGTGAATTTTTCAGTTTCTCATTTTCTGCCTCATTTGGCTGCTAACTGATAAGTTCAGCAGTTTATTTAAAGTCATATAGGAAAGCTGCTGTTGTTTGTTTATCTGTGAATTTTCGTTCAACCTTTATTTAGACAGGTAAATCCCACTGAGCCTCGAGGACTCATTTACAAGAGAGACCTGATTTCAACAAAAAATGATGACAACAATGGACAACAGCAACAACAATAGATAGCCACAAAAAAGGCATACAGATATATATATTTTTTACAAATAAGATGGCTAAAAAAAAGGTAACAAAAAACAGCTAGATTCTAAGGCGAATGTAGAAAACTAAAAACAGGAACATGTCTGCATTGGTCCCTGCCAGGAGTCCAACAGATTTTTAAAGCCACTTAGAGAGGTCAAGGTCGAGAGCTTCAGATCTTTTTGTAAGATATTCCAGGAAACAGGAGCGGAGTAGGAGAAGGCCCTTTTGCCTAGTTCAGTCCTCACTGAGGGAACACTGCAGGTAATAATGTCCAGAGAGCGCACGCTGTAGCTGCACTCACACAGAGACATGTAGGAGGAGACGTATGAAGGCAGCAGACCAAGAAGTGATTTAAAGATGAAAATGTACCAGTGAGAGTCTGCATGAAGTTAATGATGTCCAGTTAACCAGTGAATACAGGGCGCAGTGGTGGGTACGATAATCACAGCCAGTTATGAATCTTAGTGCACCATGATAGACAGCATCCAACATCTGCAGGGTTCTTGTAGGAGCGTTCATGTAAATAATGTCACCGTAATCAATGGAGGGAAGGAAAGTCACAGTTACAATGTGTTTCCTAGCATTCAGAGTTAGACAGGATCTGTTTCTGAAAAAGAAACCCAGTTTAACTTTCAGTTTCTTTACTAAGTTTTCCACATGGAGCTTAAAAGAAAGATGTGAGTCGACCAAGATACCCAAATATTTATAGGAATCAACAAACTCACCCGGGACACCATTTGAGGATAAAATCAGAGGAAGAACTGCTGGGCCCGACTTCCTCTTTGATTTTGTCGGCATTTAGGACAAGTTTGAGGTGGAACAAATGAGACTGGATGATGTTGAATGCAGATTTCAAAAGCTGGAAAGCCTTTTCAACTGTTTTACCTCGACAATAAACAACTGTGTCATCAGCATAGAAACGTATAGATGCATCAGGGATGTATTGACCTACATTACCTATGTAGATTGTAAAGAGGGTGGGTCCTAAGACTGAGCCTTGTGGTACACCATTGTTGAATGTTAAATAACTGGAGGAAGTACCATTATGTTGAACACATTGCCTCCAATCTGAGAGATAGTTAGAGAACCAACCAATAGTGTGTTCTGAGAAACCAATTTCTGAGAGCTTATGACACAAGATGTTATGATCCACAGTGTCAAAAGGAATGCTGCAGGGTGCGCCCCCCCCCCGCCCCCCCCCCCCCCCCCCCCATTCCTTCCTGTTTCCGCCTCAGGCCTGACTGTACGAGTTTCCTATAACTGTTTCCTGTCTTCACACCCACTGCCTCTTGACTATAAGGTGTTTCTAACTAAAGGCCCAGAGCATGGAGCATAGACTTTGTTGTTAAAGGCCCATAGTTTAACTTTTAATTTTTGTTTGGCTCCAGAACTTTCACCCAGCAGAAAACAATATTTGTTTTTGTGTTTAGTTTTTTCCAGCCAGCTTGTGCATTAATGGCTAAAGAGAAAAGCTTTGTAATCATGTGGGTAACCTCCTTAGTGAGTCTTAGGCGGTCCAAGTCTGACACTAATCTGACCTTTTAATCCCTGAAGCCACGGGCCTGCCCATGTTATGTTAACACACCTAACACGCAGGAAACACACACGTCTTATTATTGTGCGCTTGAAGCACTAACCCCATTAGGATCTAAACGCACTGCCTGAAGGACACATACCTAACCTGGGCTTCACACACATTTCATGTCAGATTGCTTGATTGACTGCTCCCTGTTTGATCTGAACCGAGGTTTTACTGTTCTTAGTTTGTGATGAATTGTCCCTCCTTGCTTGCCATCCTCTCAGGTTATCCGTAAAGGCTGGCTGACCATCAACAACATCAGCATCATGAAGGGTGGAGCAAAAGAGTATTGGTTTGTGCTGACGGCTGAGAGCCTCTCATGGTTTAAGGATGACGAAGTGAGTTTAACGCACACACTCACGTGACAACTTACTGTAATAGCTTGAAGCTGGGATCAACTGGTGGCCCACTGGTGTGGTGGTGGGACATCCAAACAGTTCATTGAGAGATAAAAACATCATGCAGCTACCATGAGATATTTTGTATTTCTTTTTTAAAGCAACACAAAACAATATGTGTAATAAAATATGAAAATTTATTTTTATAATGATTTAATTTTCCAGTTTTCTGCTCAAGCCAAGCTGGAAATGAGCGTCGTGTCCCACTGATTCTGCAAATAAATTAGGATAAAATCTTGTTCTGTACTTTGTCAATTTATTGCTGCTTATGTTTCTTGAATGTATGCAATAATAATAATGTCAAACAAACTCATAACATTTTGTTTCCACAACTTCTTATTCATTTTATTTACAGTAAATTGTCTTTTTTCCCCATTTGTAACATGTTTTTTCTTATGTAACGTTTTAACTCGGTCAAAATAACACGTAAAACTCATTTAAAAATCAAATTAAGAGAAAATGTTTGGCATAAATATAAAGGAGCATGGTATACCATCTGTAAACAAACAAAAACAAACACAAAATTAAAAGTTAAATAAATAAACATGACAAACTTGTACTTAAAGAAAAGATATCTATAAAAAGTCTTTAGGACCAAAAAAATTTGTGGAAGTTAAGATGTGTGCATCCAATAAACTGCATCAGTCTTGGTAAACCTTGTGTATAAACCCAACAGACTCAAATGTTGTGTATCATCCCAGAAGGTTTTTAATGTCTTGTATAAACCCAACATTCTTCAACGTCACATTGTTCTTACCTCTCGTTTCTGTCATGTCATGTTGTTCATGTCGTATAAACCTAACATTTATAAACATTGCATGTAAACCCGTCGTTCTTAAACATCAAGTGTACAGTAGTCCCTCGCTGCTTTGTGGTTCGACTTTCGCGGACTTACTCCTTCGCAGTTTTTCAAAGTAAGGTTGGACATGAAACACAATTGGCTGATTGACAAATGAGCCGCACGAGCGGCATATATTGTTTATTTAAAATATATTATTTTTAATGATTTAGAAACTGCTGCACCTGTGTGCAGCCCACAGGTGCAGGGAGAAGATCCCTCAGCGTGTCATGATCTCCACTCTCTGCCACCTGCGGCTCTCGGCCACACCCACTTCTCCGCTGCAATCACACTCATCACCTGTGTCACTCCCAAGCTCCCTCCTTCTGTGTAAATAAACAATTTTAATAGTTTAAATAAACAAAATGTTTATTTTAAATAATCAAGCACAACCGGAACCGAGTCTTTAGTCCCCCTCGGCGAACGACCAAGCCACCGGGAAATGTTACGGTGCTCCCAATGGCCAGTCTGCCCACAGCTTGCTGTAGCTGGTGCTAAATGCTTTAAAATAAATTATTTTAAAGGATTTAGCACCTGTGCTGTGCTTTTTAAAATTAAATGTGTGTGTGTGTGCTGCGCTTCTTAAGCACACCCCAGTATCTGCCGATTGTCTGCCCATTAGTTATCTGGACCACCTTTTATGGTATGGACACCCTTATGTCTGAGCATGTGATGGACAAACTATGACTAGCACAGAAGTCCAACAAGAGAGCACCGCTCTGGTTCAGATCAGGGAGACCATTCCTCCCAATCATACCCCTCCTTTTTATTCTTCACTGGCTCTCTAACGAGGCGCACGCATTCCTTCCTGCTCCCTGTTCTCCTCCTGCTTTTTGCCCTCTGTCTGTGTATCGGAGCAGCTCCTGTTTTTACACATCTCCCCAAATGGAAACTGCTGTTTTGCATCTGACCAACTGGACTTTCGACGTATATTACAACATTTTTTTAACTGACAATTTACTTGCAAGGACCCATTCAAGACAGATCACATGCACACATACATAATGTATAGCCCTGAGCTGCTTTATTCATTCTCTTATCAGTTCAGTCAAGTTCACAGATCTCAGGAGGTGTCCATGGAACCAGATGCAGCCTTCTCACCCAGTGCTCTCTATTAACCCAAACATACGGTTCATGGGCAGAGATAAGAAAGTGCCTTGGGAGAAGCAACATTTTTCAGTCAGGTCATCTGGCAGTATATTTTTTTGTGCTGAAACGTTTCTCCTTCGATCCAGAAGGCTTCATCAGACTTCACTGGTTTCTTCCACTTTGGAGTAAGCTGTTGGGGGAAGAATCAGTTTTGTTGTGTTTCATTGACTGATGAAGCCTTCCGGATCGATGGTGAAATGTTTCAGCACAAAAAAAAATAAACTGTCCAGATGACCTGACTGAAAAATGTTGGATTGTAAACCTGGATTATTGAGCATAGACTTTGTTGCCTTGGGAGATGTTTTGGATTATGCCTTGGACTTCTTGTTCTTAACCATAGAAATAAAAACATCTATAACCTTTGACCAAAAATTCTCTGACAACCAAGATCTTCTGTTTTAAAAGTAGACAAACACAATTTCATAACCTTTGACACCACATTTAGTTTGATATGACTTGTTTTTTTTAGCTGTCACAGCAGCAAGCTATGGCACTCTGGTGCAGCTTGGAGCAGTTCTTAAACTATGTTTGTTGAACTCACCATGCAGTACAGAATGTAGAGGTTTACAAAATGGTGCATTCACTGAGCTTGTGTCTGTGGTGAGAATTAAAGTCTGTTTCTCCAACCTGAAGTTGTTCACAGAGCTAGCTTGAAGAAGTTTGATGGTCATTTTCTCAGGAGGAAATATAAAGAATAAATAAGGATAATAAACGAAAGAAACTTGATTAAACAGTAATGAGTGGACTTGGATCTCTTGGGGGGTTTTACTGCAGAGTTTTATTATTTTTAAGTGCAACAAACAAACCAACAGCACAACATAAATGTGTATGAGCAGGCGCAGTGTCGGTCCATCCTGCTGTCCCGTCTGCTGTCTGTCTGCCATCTGTGCCTGCTGTACAGGTTGGAGGATGTTCTGCACAGCAAGTGTAGATAGGCAGACACCCTGCAGCTTCTGCAGCCCACCTCCTGCTGCCACCTTCCACTGAGAGAGAATCACAGACTGACAGACATGGGCACACTCTGGCCATATATGAGATTCCTGTACACTTTGTGTTACGCCTCCTCTTCAATGAACTAATTGGGCGTGCATAAACTTCATTATACCTTGGACTTATTGTTCTTCACCATAGTAGCAGCTGAACCAGTAGCTTAACCACGGAGCAGCTAACTGTATCTGTGTGTTCGGCCATGACTGACGTCTACTCTGTCCTTCAGCTTTTTTGTCTCGGAGCTGTCCTTCTGCCGTGCACGTCTTTTTTCTTATTGGACTTCAGAAATTGTCTTCTGCTTTGCAAACTTGGAGCAGTTCTGAAACAAAGAAAAAGAGAACAATGTTCCCAAAATGATCGCTCGCACACTCAAAATATGCAAACAGGCACACGGCTCACTGAGGCCACACAGACTAAGATGTTAGTGGGGTCATGGAGGAAAGGAACAGGCCTCTGCTCGCTGAACATCCTCAACCACACACACGCACAAACACACACATGCACACACAACTCAGACACACTATTAGTGCGGCGGTCTTCAATTCAGTTCAAAATACTTTATTAATCTCAATGGGAAATTCAACCTTTATTTATACATGTAGTCCCACTGAGACTCGAGGACTCATTCACAAGAGAGACCTGATTTTAACAAAGAGTGATGACAACAGAGGACAACAAAGACAATAATAGACAACCACAAAAGGAAGCATACAAATTGAGAAGAATAAATGAAAGAAAATGACATTCAAAAATGAAACAAACAAACAAAAAAAGAAAAACAACTAGGTTGCAAGGCGATGTAAGATACTAAAAACATGAACATGTCTGCATTGGTTTTTGCCAGGAACTGAACTGAACTGTTGTAACTCATTATTCTGGTTTCATTACATTGTTACATTTTTGGCAAGAAAGTTTCTGTATTTCAGTGGAGAGAACCAGTTCTGATCCACATGAGGAACCCCTCTTTGATTGATTGACGTTGTTTGGGACTTCTTTAGTGAGCCAGCTGCACATGCAACTTGGACTTTCTGCCACAACTGAGGTGAAGTTGTCAGCTACAGTCATTGTTGAAACTCTGACTGAACTGGACCTGTGCCTCTGCACTGAGTCTTTGTTCAGATAAAGTTCAATAACCCTTAATTGATATTGCCCTGATTGATTGGCTTCTCGTTCCCATGGCTGCGCTCCATGCTTCAGCAGACACATTTGCTCCTCCCCCTTTCAGTGGACCACATCTTCACCAGAATCCTAGCAGCCTGCACCACCTCCTGGCTGCTTTCTGCTGGACAGTTTCAATCTTCCGCTCTTCAGTAAGTTTGAGTTTTCACAGTCAGACATAATGTTAGTGCTGAAACTGGTGTTTATTTTAAAATAGAAGGGGAGAACTGGGACCCTGTGCACACAGTTTCGTTCCACCACATGCACCACATGTGGTGGAACGACAAATAAAGAAACTTTGACTTTGAGAATGCCGTTAGAGTGCACTTTGAAACCAGATCAAATACAGAACGAGAAGCGTTGAAGTAACAGATGCAAATTAAAATGTCTTTTTGTGAAATGAAACAACAAAAGGGAGACCAGTACAGACAGACAGAGAGAAGAGTGTCCGTGCCCAGTCTAACCAATGTGCAGACTACTGTACACCAGTATGACAATGAACAGGTAGTCTGAACACTGGGTGGACGGAGACGGAGCTGGAGCCGGACCAGGAGCTGGACCAGGAGCTGGACCAGGAGCTGGACCTGGAGCAGGATCAGGGCCTTTCATGCTGTTTGCTGCCATTCCAGGGTCTCTGTCGTCTCTGCCCCCTGAAACTCCCATTAGAAAAGTGTGAACCGTCTCATCCGGTTTGCTGCGTTCCCTTGTTTTGGTTTCTCAAAGCGCCTCTGAGTTTATTTGTTTTGGGGGGCGTTGGGGTCCCGTGGCGGTCCTGCTTTGGTCAAGCCGGTCAGGACGTGTATCGAGCCTTGACGTGGCATTTTCGCTCAGACGACCAGGACACTGCTCGTTCAGGGAGGGGAAAGTCCAAAAAAGGGGGAAAGGGGGGGTATATCCGTGTGACCATGTATGGACTGCCGTGACCCCAACCTTGAAATATCTGCTTCCTCTTCATCTTCTCCCTCCATCTCCTCCAATTCTTTCCTGCAACCATCGACTGCAGCTTTCTTGCCTGCCGGGCCAGATGCGGGCCTTCATTTGAGGATAGTTTCAGATCCACATCGCTGGTTCGGTTCTTCTTCTCCTCTGGGTCTGTCCTCCTCCACCTCCTTCACTCGCCTCCTCTCTGACTTCTCCCTCCTCCCCTGCCTCTCTGTGTGCTGCTAAGCACTGCCAGATGTTGCGTTTTAGCGCCAGGCTGTCATTTAATATCTCCTGCTCTCTCTCCCTTCTTAAAAAGCTCTGGCAGGAAGTGGGCCTCTCTGGAATGAACAGAAAAAACTGAAGAAAATGTTGACGGGCTGAGATAAAAGAAAAACAAAAAGAAGGATGAGAAAAATGTGTTGACTGTCGCAGCTCTTGTTTTCAGGTGTTGATCCTGAGCTTTGGTCCCGTCAGACCTGAGTCTGAGCCGGATCTGATACTCAGACTTTCACCGTTCTACAGAAAACACTGTCGGGACAACTGGACCTGACCCCCACCATAATGACTTCCACATGTGCTTCATTTTTTACCATGCTCTCCCCTCACCTCCCACCATCATTTCTCCAAACTCCTCTTTCACCCAATTTCTGTACACCCCCCTCCATTTTTGTAAACGTACATTTGGCCGTTGTCTTTGTCACCATCATGTGTGGCTGACGGACATGACAACAGTGGCGGGGGTGTCCTTTAAACAGAGACCTGACCACCATCCTTCTGGTTTTTCTCCAATTCCAGGAGAAAGAGAAGAAGTACATGCTGCCCCTGGACAACCTGAAGGTCCGCGATGTGGAGAAGAGTTTCATGTCCAGCAAGCACATTTTCAGCATCTTCAACACGGAGTCCAGGTCCGCTGCACCCAGTCTCTGCCACATATTCACTCAACACCAGAACTTCTACAGAGAACACTTGGGATGACAGTTGTACAAATGTAAATTAGTATTACTTATAGCGAGGTACTTAACGAGTATTAACAGTCAAATATTCTCTTTATAGCGAGGTACTTAACACATATTAACAGTTAAATATTTAACCTATATCAAGGTACTTAACAAGTATTAACCAGTCAAATATTCTTCTGATAGCTAAGTACCTTGCTATCAGAAAAAATATTTGACTGGTTAATATGAGAATTAACCAATAAAATATTCTATTTATAGCGAGATGCCTAACAAATATTAACAGTTAAATATTTTACCTATACCGAGGTACTTAATACGTATTAACTGTCAAGTATTCTTCTTAAACCTGGTACTTAACAAATATTAACAGTCAAATATTCTATTTATAGCGAGGTACCTAACACATATTAATAGATAAATATTTTATCTATACCGAGGTACTTAAAAAATATTAACTGTCAAATATTCTTCCTAAAGCGAGACAAGACAAAAATGCTAATTTTGTAAACATGTTTTTTTCGCCTTATTTCCAATGTATGTGGTTGTTTTTTTTTAAATCTGATGGCATAAATGGATCTGGTCACTTTTTAAACAATTTTCAGACTAAACAGTCACTGTTTGTTTCTTTTGGGCTTGGACATAATTGATTGAACGTCAAAATGAAATGAGGGTAGAAGGTTTTAACTAGGCTAGGCTGGATAAAACATATGAATGGAAAAAACACAAAAATGTGCTAATATTTCACTTTTTTGTCATTACATGTATCTTTGTAACCAAACAAAATACATGTTGTCAATGGCCATTGCATGGATGAAGCCTTCGGCCTTTTTCTCCACACTCTGTGTTCTGATAAGCTCTAGTAAAGTTCAAACTATTGATAACTATTTGACACAACATTGTTTTTAAATTGATGAGATTAAACTTTGATTATTTTAACCTAGACAAGTAATTTTTTTGATAACTAAGATTGTTTTAAATCCACAAATGAACAAAGAAAATCAGAATAGTCCTGCTGACAGCTAATATTGCTGTAATAGTCACGTCAAAGAACAAGAATTACAAATCAACCCATTATTGGATTAGATTATCCCTGAGTGTAATGACGGTGAAAAAAATATTTTTAAAATAATCAACCTGCTAATTTGACCAAAAGTTAGTTTTAGATCAGTTCTGATTATCGTGAGAAAACAAGCTTTTACTAGTACTTTGTATTACACTACAAAACGTATTTGTTTCTGTCAAGATAATCGAAGATTTAACTCAGAATCTTAAATAAAACCATATCAAATTAAATATAAGCATCTACAGTCACACAACCTCTTGGAGTTTCAGTATTTATGGTTTTAGTTCTGTCACTGACTGCAGGGAACTGTTGACATGTTTTTAGTTGTTCATCATTCAAAGCAGCATAAATCACTTGGTCTGTAGATAGATACACTTGGCTTCTACATACGTAGGCAGATACACCTGTCTTTTACATATGTTGGTAGATACACTTGGCTTCTACATATGTTGGTAGGTACACCTGCCTTCTACATATGTAAGTAGATACTCCTGGCTTATACATATGTTGGTAGATACACCTGGCTTTTACATATATTTGGTAGATACACTTGGCTTCTACATATGTTGGTAGATACACCTGGCACCTGATCCTTGTGTGATGGATTGGTTAGAGAGAGCGTTAACGCTGCTCACAGAATCTTTACATTCGAGCTGAAGGATGTTGCAGAGAGTGTGACCTCTACAGCCAGAACAAAGTCAAGCTATGACCAGCTGGCTAAATTGGCGCTCTTATTGAAAGCAACATTCTATGTTGTGGTAAACAAGGCTGACAACCTTGCAATAAGGTTAAACAGCGAAAAAGAGGAGTACCTCAAACTCATGGCACAGTCTAAATTTGATCAGGAGACCCGTGCGAATGAGTTACAACGTGACAGAGAGCTCTCACAAGCTCAGCTGTCATTACAAGCTCACTCATATGAGGAGAAGATGAGGGAAAGAGAGGTTAAGTACCAAGCACTGTGTTCAGACAACGATACGCTACAACAACAGTTGCAGCTCACATCAAAAGCTCTGAACGAATGCAGATTGGAAAAGGTGGCGTTAGTCCAACAAGGTGTGCATTTACAAAGTGAATGTCATACATCACAGGAACGCTTAAAAACCTGTGAGGAGAAACTAGCCGCTGCAACAAATGAGATTTCTGACGTGGGGCGAGGTTGTCTGGAACTCAAAGACGAACAAGGTCAGAGTCCAGGTCACCCACCATCACCTCAGAAGGATCTTGGTGCACCTCCTGCTCTTAATCCCATTCTGTCACCTCCACATGTGTCTAGCGACACACCTCCACGTGCCATTTTGGTTCCTACGATACCGATAATACAGCCTTTGCTCCCAATTTCGGATTTGCAAAAAATCTCAAAATATGTTCAACGCTTTATTCCTGGGCCTATGGGGTCCACTGGTACGAAGGCATATCTGAATGATCTTGATTTCAGACTGAGTGGTTATCCTAATGCTACGGTTGAAGATAAAATCAGTCTGATAAGGCTCACTTCGGACAGAGAGGTGTTCACCTTTATCGAGCATCAACCTGATGCCACGAGAAGGGATTACAACCTTCTGTGTGAAGCTTTGATCAGAGAATACAACCCCTGCACGGGACCTGGTGGCTTCCCAGCTGCAGACAAGGTCACGCAAGGGAAGCATGAACATCCAAAGGTTTATTACAAAAGAATCTTCCAGGCTTATTTTGGTTACAGGAATGAAACCGGCATGGAGGAGGAAGAGGGTTTTAAATTTGTTTTCAGCAAAAACCTCCACACTGCCGTAAGAACGTCAGTACAAATGATGGCAAATTTCAAAGAAAAATCCATCAATGAGATTAAACAGTGTGCTGTGAATGTGTTTGAGGCCTGTTCTCATGTTAAGATGCCCATAGAGGTGTTTCCTGGTGTAAAGGTTAAACCCCATTCGCTAGAACTGGAAGGACGGCGCGTGTCGCCTCCCCCTCCTAAAAAAGGCGAGGAAAAGCAGTCTTTTCAAACTAACAAACCGTGTCATGAAGGTGCACGCTACATCACTACATGTTGGTAGGTACACCTGGCTTCTACATATGTTGGTAGATACACCTGGCTTCTACAT